GATATCCATTCTTTTTTCAACTGTTGCAGGTGACTATGTGACATTGTATCAACATCAGAGAAAAAAGATCAATGAGAGGATGCGCGAAAGAGAAGAAGCAGTTGCGAAATTATCTTTCGAAAAAGAACAGATGCAGGTCATCATTGTTTTTTTTCTTGAATAAACAGTTAAATGTAATCTTTTTCGATAATTCTACAGTTGATATAACAATATTTGCTGTTTCCAATTTATGCTTTGCCTGAAGTAACTTTATAAAGACATTTGATGTCGGAGCTGTTGATGTATACTCAATTGATATTTCACTATAGGTCTCTTTTATATCTGGCAACTTTTAAACTTTTATGTCTATCTATTTAACTGATTAGTAATGAACTAATTAAGTTTAATTTTTTCCAGCAAAAGTTGAACGAATTACAAAAAGTTTTGATTGATCTGCTATCAAAGAAAGGATTGTTGCATATTTATGAACATGAGAAAGGAACGTTAAACAATTGTAATGGATCATCAAAGCGTTCGCGCGGTGTTCGATCGTACAGGCATATTACAAATCTTTTTGGATGCTTTTCTGAATATTGATTATTATTATGATTATTATGTTTTTATGCGTTTTTTTATCCTCGTGATATTTTGTAGTCATGGTACTGACGATGAATTCTCTGATAATGAGGAGACAGTTGTTGATACTTCAAAATTGCTTGTTCCCAGCAGTCCAGATTCCTGTATTGACGTCTCAAGTGAGTTTGGAAATAGAAAATATGATTCTGTTAGGCTGTAATTTACTTTTTTGAAATGGATTGAAGTGATATTTAGATTTTCGTTTTATCTAAGGAAAAATTAATTGCTATTTCCTTTACAGACATCTCTAGAAATAAAGTCAAGGAAAACATTTTGGAAAACAATGCTGATGATGATGTCGGCGTGCAAAGAATTTTAAATTTGATATCGGAGCTGCAGGTGACATTATAATTTTTTGTACATGTAGAATTGACAAAAGGTATTACAAAAGGAAAAAAAAATTTTCAACTTCTTTGATTTCTGATAGTTGAAATTAGTTCATATTGGTCTTTATAATTAGTGGCGAACAACATTTATAAGGTGTTCGCGATTAATTGTAAAGAGAAAAATGCAAAATTAAACGAAAAAAAGTTTGTTTTGTTAACGATTTGACTTGAAAACTTATAAATAAATTGGAGATTGTTTTTACGAGCAGGGTTTATCGTTTAGCTTTTAATATTTTTTCCAGGATCTGGAACGTGCAAGAACACTTGCACCATGCAGTCCTAATGTACACTGCAGCGAATGCCGCGGAAAATTAATCAATTTATGATAATGTACAAAAAATAATTGGTGGTATTATCTTATATAGTTTTATAATAAATTATGGATTTTTGAATTTAATGAAGAGGTGGGAAATTAACTTTTTTTTGTCCATCATGTTAGTATTATTTTACAGTTCTTAATATTTAACTTAAGAGCTTGTGATTTAAACATAATTAGGTGTATTTGAAGAAAACATTTCACTTCAGTTGCTTCAAATTCACATATTATTCAATTTTATACAATTTTGCATCTTTCATTGTTGCACATTCTATTTAGTTATTTTGAAACTTAAACTCAATTCTGATAATTAAATAGCCCAAACATCGGTAGTACAAACGCTTTTGAATCAGAATTCAGATGGAAGTGGCATATTTTTGAAAATGATCGCTTAAGTTTTTTCAGTATTTCCAAGGATTAGACATTTTTAAGAATTAGGTCTGATGAAAAAATTTTAGAATTATTTTGAAGTTTTTTTTACCAATCCATCAAATAAAATATTGCCAGAGGAGCTTTCATATGCAATACATTCTGTGCTATTTCAAGCTTTCCATTCTATGCGGTATATTTTATATTATCCTTCCAATCATTTTCTTCTTTTTAATAAAATCCATCTTCATGCTTGTGTTTATTAAGTTACTGAATTTTGATTCGTTACTGCGCAGCTTACATTTTTCTTTAATTGCATATTTATCTTATGTACAGATACTTTGCATAATGCTATTCAGAAAAGCAGGACGGGGACGGAAATTTTGATTAAAACAAGAAAAAAAGAAAAAAATGGGTCTGGTGTGCATGATACATGTGAGAAGACATTGTTTACTTCATGTAATTTATAGGTCATTTGAAAATTTAGGATGTGCCAGATGTGATTGTTCGAGTAATTTTGTTATATTGATTTTATATGAAAGCATTGTTTGCATGAAGTTTGTTAGCGGCAAATGTAAGAACATCAGTTTATCTCTGATACTGATGCGAAAACATTGTGCTGATTGTTACTTTAAGATTTTAAATTTGTTTTTTATTTCGTAGCAATTAAGAAAATCGAGTATATGTTTGCCTTCAGCTCAACTATATGTAAAACCCTGTCTCATTTCTAATTATAAGACATGAATGTACTGGAATTAAAAACCACACTTTAGTAAGTGTAAAAACAATGAAATGAAATTTAAAAAACGTAATAAATTGGAATGCATTTCTGTAATTTCACGAAATTACACATTGCGGGATTGCATGCAATTTCATAAACATAATTTGGTTTACTTTGAAAATTTGTTGTGAATTTTCTCACACAAATGCTTTTTATGAAATTACCATAATAAGTGCTATTTTGTTTGGTTGTGTTCCGACCTGTATGCTGCATATTTTGTAGAATAGGATATCAATTATGAGAATTTTACAGAAGAAATTTTCTGCCAAATTAAATAAGAAATTGCTCCTAACTGGATTCACATGTCTGCTTTTTGTATCGTTTACTCAACCTCCAATTTTTTAAAAAAAAAAAACTTTTGCTACTGAGAATTTTGATTCCACTGATTTCAAACAAGGTATAAAGTTTGGAGAACGGTAAAGCTGTGAGAGTGCACATATGAATAATTGAGCACGTAAAATATAGTATTCTTTCAAGCTTAAATTCTCTGAAATCATGATAATAGTTCAGTTTCTAATTAATCACATATCCATAGACCATAATTCTTATAAAGTTTTTCTTAGGTGTATATGTGACCTTAAACTCTAAATATGAGATTTTTGTTTTCAAATGTGAGAGAACAAGGCTGGAATTTAAGTATGACGATGCACTTGAAAATTTTACTTCATCGCTTGGGTTTGTTTTCGTAGTTGTAATATGACTTAACTTTCAGAAGTTATTGTTCTGAATTGCTATTAGGTGTTTGGGACAAAATGCAGCTGAAGTGTAGTGTATTGATTGATTCACGCACACTTTTCACATCGAAATTACGACAGCGATACAGTAAAGGAATTCTGATTCTAAGAAGCAGAAAAGTGAGTAAAATAGGCGAGTGTGAATTAATTATAACTACTCCTCGAGACAAAAATGGACGACTTTTCACTGTGAGTAATATGGTTAAATTTTTCTTATTTTATACTGAATGTCCTGAATCAATACTTGGGTTTCTGTTTCATACCATTTGCTGATGATTGACCTAATGCGTAATTTACGAAACAAAATAGAGAACTATATTGCATGTCGATTTTATATATCAGTTTGATGTTTTAGTTGTATTTATTTGTAGATTACTAGAAGAAGTGTTAAGCGAATTCATTCTACAAAAATGCAGTCTGGATCTGTTACGATAGAAATGAACAATCCGTCAGTCTTAATTTGTATAAAAGAGGTAATGATATATTGATTGAGTATTGACTGATTCATATGTGCCGTTCTTATTCTCATTTGTTCCCTTGATACACATCAAATCATACATTTTTAGTGAAACATTCATCGAATTGATCGCTTTATTGTAAAATAGAACCAAGCACAAACGGTATGGTGTCTTGTGATTTTATTTTGAAGTTTAGCTTTATGCTGTTTCAGGTATACTGAACAACGCTATAAAAAATTTTTAGATGCTTCTAACATTTTGAAGAAATAATGTTTTTAGTTGCTTACTTAAAGCAAATCTTAATAATAATGCTTGTAGCTACCAATGAATGATTAATTTGGTATTTCGCTGCATTGTTTATATTTTTTTCGGAAGATTTTATCCGTTTCTATCATTAACAGTGTTGGTTGCTGAGAATGACTAAAGTTATGGCAAACGAGAAAATAAATTGCCAGAAAAGAATTTTAAATTGTTTAATGTTTTTCAGGCGCCAGTTTCTTCACTTCATAATTTCATTTCAAAACTGCAGAAAATATTGGCAGGTGAAGAAATTGTTTTAGACGATGAGAAAGAAGTTGCATTCTCTAGTTTCGCCTCATTTCGGCGAAAACTAATTATGACCAGCAGAAAGCAATACAGCGAATATAAATTGGGATTTTCGCATTATTTACTAGTAGGACGCCGTTTCTAAATTTTTTAAAACTTGTAGTTTGAATAGCAATACTTTTGCTTCTTTTACTTTTTATTTAGGAAGTGCCATTTTTGCTGGTTATATATACTGGAATAATTTTCAAAATTATATCAGCTACAGGAGTTGATAATATCAAGCATTGGTTTGACTGGTGTTGACACTCGTTGGTTTGGAGCTACTTCTCTTCGCGTACTTGATCTCAGCGGTAATAAGCTTGGTAAATCAAATTCTTTCCAAATCAAATTCCTGAATATTGTTCGATTACAGCATCTCAGAGTACTTGTACTTGCTGATAACGAAATACAATGCATTTCGGTAACTTTATATTTAATAATCTTGGAATTTAAGCCAATATTTCTCGTGAACAGAATTCTGATAAAAGTTTATTCAGAATTTAAGCTTCTCTATTCATAAGTTGCATTAAAAAAATTTGTAATATAATTTTCTCTTACTGTAAGTGAACAGTTTTGCAGGATGATTTATGGAACGCTTTACCAGAAAATTTGTTATCATTGGATTTGTCGAACAATCAGATCTCTTATTTGTCGCCGTGTTGCACGCGGTTCCCAGAAATGACTCATTTATTGCTCAGCCATAACAGAATTGAGGAATTGCCACGAACTGTATGTTTCTTGAAGTTAACCATCTAATTAGACGAGCAAAAAGCTGTCATGAACAGTCAGTCAGCCTTGTTAAAGTGATTGCTTTACTTGTCAATAGTTTCTGACAATATCCTGCTTATAATTGCAGAACATTTCGGATTGAAAAAAGAAATGTGAGGCGGATTGGAAGTTTTGGCTCATTAAATTTTGGTTGAAAAAAAATTAAATCTTGGTTGAAAGTTTCAATTGGCTCATTAAATTAGTTGGAACACTAAATTAACAGAAAAAGTATAAGAATACTTTTGTATATTGTTCAGATGTTCTTAGCTTGTTATTTTTCGATAAGATCGATAAGATTTCGTTAAAATAAAGCGGAATGTTTTTGTCTTTCTTTTTATAACTTAAATTTTTTTCAGAAAAATTTCGTCGAGTTTCTTTTCAGATAAATAGTTTGACAAAGTTGAAATATTTGGATATTAGCTGGAATAAATTAAAATTCTTGCCTTCGGAAATAAAGGATCTCTCACTTGAGATGATTGATGTGACTGCTTATAACGGTGACGAGAAACTAAAAGTACATGATACTCTTAATCAGTTACTTGAAATAGACACCCCAATGGTTAAGCTTGGCACACTGTTCGAATATGCTGCTGCTGCTGTTTTAAATTACAGGTCAATATTTAGTCTGAAAATATTTGTTTTTATCGAGATTCATTTCGAATATTCTGTTCACGCTACTCGTGGTAAGCATAGGATACACCGAGGAAGATAAGAGATGAAGACTTTTTAAAAACACTGATCCAGAAAATTGAGTCTTGCAAAATTCGAAGTGTTTGGATAAGAGAAATCCAATATATATCAGTCTGTAAAAATCTCAAATCTCTTACTTCCATTAAAATTTTGTAGAATCAGTACGAATTCTCTACCGGATTCACTGCGCATAATGATACAACAAGCAGTTCAGAATTGTAAAAATAAACTGGGAGGAGGCTATAGATTTTATCCTGCTAGTATTGTTACTGCAAGGGTATGTTCATTCATTTATTAATCTGATATAATTAGACTGTTAGCTGCTGAATTTATTATACTGATTGGTATATGAAATTGAGAAAGCATTTTACTTTCTTTGCCTGAAGAATAACAGTCTTAAGTATTTTAGAATTTGTAGCATTTGTATTTTGTGTTCTTTTACTTTTGATTGAAAATATCTGTTTGTAGTCAAGAATTTTTGATGTAATTCTCATTTTTTCCAGTATCGTATCGAAGATGTACGATCTCTGGCACTTCAAGCAGTTTCACGAACTCATTATAGTGTGATTTTGCAAGAGAAGGAGGTGATGTGATCTCGTTTATATTCCTTTATCTTTCTCGTACTAATTTTGTCTTAACTTTTTTCTTGTTCATTATTTTGTAAGGACTTTGCTGTCATCTGTTTCGATATTCTTACTTTGTAAACATTTGTGATAAATTTCTTTGTACAACATACAATTTTGGTAGCACTCCCTGAGTCTAATTTCTCACTGTGTAGATTATTATAGTAGCCTTAGAATAAATTGTCAAGCCGATATTTTTTTGTTAGTTTTTAGTTGAAAATATTCTTGACGATATGTATCTTCTTGCCAGGTATTCTAACGTTCTGTATATGCAACTCTGTTAGCAAATAATCTGATCGATATCTCTGATTTAACATCAAATATCTTCTTTGTTTCCAGCATTACATTGGTTTATATTTGAATGTTAAATCTAAACAGTTGATTAACTCGATGAATTTCTGAACTATTGAAATTTCCTGTTTGCTATTAGAATGATATATTCTTAAATAAATTTTGTTATATTACATATTTTAATGCGTATTTACCACTTTATATCTCTTCCTTAATGACTTATTGTTGCTTATATTTTAAAGTAAGGGGATGGTCCAAAATAGGAGGAAAGATTTTTTTTTATCTGAGCAAAATAGATCGTGAAGTATTGTAGCATCAACAATGCATTTAACAGAAATGCTAACAAGACTACTTATATTACCAAACATTTTATAAGGAAAAGAGAAATTTAAAGGGGAACTTAGTCCGTCCTCGAAAGTTGACAATAACCTGTGCAACTTTCGAGGCTGTTTTTCCCGAGGTGATCGTTTTGTTTGGTCGTCCTACGGTTGTTAACTATTTGAAACAAGTTGGAAGGTCAAGGATACTCAGCAAATGAGATCGACTGATCGATGAGTTGGGAAAATCGACGTCCTGAAGTGTCATGGTCTCTTTTCTGTGCAGGCATAAATTTGCAAAAAAAGAGATTCATACTATATTGTAAATGTTTAATGTTTTCTTTGTTATTATTAGGATTAAACGAGAAGTAAATGATGAAGATGGGATGAACTACAAGTATACTTTAGAAATTTATCTTATTACTCATCTCATCGTTTTAGGCCGATGTTGGTTGAGCCGTCTGACAATACAGATGATCCCAAACAAATTTGGCAAAATAAACTCTGCGATATTGAGTCATTGCTACTTGAAGCTGACGTTTTATTTTGTGATATAGAAGGCATTGGAAAATATAAAAAAAAATTGAAAAATGAAAGGAAATTTTTGACTGCTGTAAGTTTTACATATCAATTAATGATATTTTTGAATGAATATATTTAATCACCTCTTATTTTAACGTTTGAATTTATAGCTAAAAAATCTATCGGTCAGTGAATTGAGGAAATATTCGGATACTACCAATATAACGCATCTTCGAAGTTTGCTTAATGTGGCAAAGAAATATTCTTGTTGTGCCTTTTACAAAAGCTTCGCTGCATCGCAAAGGTATTCTATTTATTATTTGAAATATTCAAATAGATATGTAGACATGCCAGACTTGTTGAAGAAGTAAGAAAGTCCGTCTAAGTGACTCGAGTTTTATATTTTTCACAAATTGTGTGCTTCTTTATTGACGAAAGCAGAATAATTTGAGATCTTTAAAAAAAGGTTTCATTTTTCGAGCTTTTTTTCATAGGTCTTACTCTGTAAAACTCGAATTGCAAAGCAAAGAGTATATTTGAATATATTTTTCAGGAAATCAAAGCGAGAGATTGATTTAGTGGTAGATGGCGGCGCTGCATGGGTGATTTTTTTTTTTTAAACATTCTTTATAAAATTGTTTATCTTGACAGTTAGTTTGATATCTTATGTGATGCTCTTCGGTATTTTTTCTTTGTTTTCTAATTTTACACATATGTGATCTTCATTCAGATATTTTTTTAATTAAAGGTGAAAGTGATATCTAGAAATGTTAGAGGTCTTGCTATGGATTTTATTGGTGCCAGTGGAAGTGCTAACCGTTCCGTTATTGAGCAAGCACAAAATTACATTGAGGTCTGGGATTTCTTCATTAATAATAAATTTTGTTATATTTCAGTAAAATAGTGGAACAGTGAATTGGATTTTCGTTTTTGTCTTATGAAATGTATTTAGGTAGCTCGAAGTCATCTTCATTTCTTCAAAGTGCCAAAAATAATATTTGAATTCGTGCATGGTGTTCCAGACTTGTTGCAGCATAAACTTGAATCATTTGGAATTGAAGTTGTTGGTGATATGGTAAGCGCAGCATTTTATAATAGTAACTATAGAACAATATATCGAAGACTATTTCTTCGATTTTTTTCAAGTTACAAATTATAATGATGGTGTAATTATTTGACTTAATTTTTTTTTCTATTTGATTTATAACAAAAGTTATAAGTTTGTCTTACGCCTTGCATATGCTCTTCTTTCGAAATCGAATCAGATCGAATCAACACAATAAACTGTAATTCTTTGAACATTTCATTCAAATGATTATATTGTCAACATTGCTTGTTGACAAGATAATCATTATGATGGATTTGCAGAAACCTTTTCAGTGTCTTCATTACTTTGCAATTCAGGTGAACATTAACGAATTCATAAAATTGCCAGTTGATTTTGCTTCATATGACAGTGATGATATTTACGGCGGTACACCATCTGTTTTGAAAAACGAATGCCTGAAAACAGAAGATTGCATTGTAGATACCGTTAATCTTGATATCAGTAGTGTATTTGCTCTTATTTCATCTTTAACGCATAGAAATGGTGCTAATTATAACTATGCTAGTCGGTTACTAAATTCTCAAGCTCAAGCTGAAAGGAAGAAACCTGCTCTTCCTCCACTACTGAAAGCTATTAAAGGTCTCTCTACAACATTTTACATTATTATCACTTTAAACATTTGCATTAAAAAATTTAAAAATGCAGTAATGCCATTTTATTAAACTATTTGCTTTATCGTTTAGTGAAGTTCTGTGCATTTTTCAATAAATTTTATATCTGATCAAAATGCATAAGATTTTTCAAATGCTTAATTTTTCTTATATGTTTTCAGATTCAAAGTTGATAATTTGTCAAACAGCATATGATTCTGTGCAGTCAATTTTGAATACAGTGGCGGGACCGCAGGAGAGAATACGTGCCAAAGAGTTATTCGAAAAAGTTGAAATAGTGGAAGATAAATTATCAGAACGAGCAGCTAGACTAAAATTAAGTGATAGAATCAGTCAGAGATCTAAAGTAAATATTCTCATTATTACCATTTGAGTTTTTTGGAAATATTTAAAAGTTTAGTTTTAAATTAAATGCTTTGACACTTTTAGATATTTAATACTTTAAACTTTACTACCAGCTAATGTGTTATGCTAATCACTGGGGCCCGCAACGATTTTGATAGTCTGAACATTAACTTTATAAACCGTATTAGTTAGCTAATCTACTTTTTAATTTAATTTCAGATAATATTTGGTTCTGGTGATTATTACAAAGCAGTTACAGTTACTGCCAATCGTCATTTTGTTTATGCGGCCGCTCATCAGGTCTTCTTTTCATTTCTGAATATGTTTTATTATATTCATAGTTTGCATAGATGCTTGGTATTTACAGTTCGGTGCTAAGCTATATTTAGTTGTTACTATTTATAACTGTACTTAATATGATTTGATCTTTAACATACAGTTTACACTGATTTTATAAGTCAGCGTTTTCGAAGTCGCTATCTCTTCCTGTTTTCATCTGTCAGTGTTTTCTGGAGCTCTAACAGATCTCAGCGCCAGAAAATGTAAGCTTTTTTATTTTTTACCGTTAATGTGTTTTCAGGATATTCATTTCGCTGTTATTATACATGAATCGAGAGCACTAAGTGAACAGAAGCAACGAGATTTAAGGAGTTAATTTTGTCTATACTTTATGTATCTTATATGTACCGAGGTATCGCATAAATACTTGCAAGCAGTATCTTTATTCTGGAATTTTTAACAGGCGTATCAATTCCCTGCAAAATATCTTTAAAAAGCATTTTATGTCAATTTTAACTTCAGCTTTTCAGAAGTTACATAAATAGTTGATTGAAGGCATGATTTCTTAAGAAATATCTTAGTGATTTCAACAACTTGTCGTTGTAACTTATCCTTACTGTGCATTTCAATAAGATTTTCGACCAAGATTTAGAAGATGGTAGATCTGTCAGATGCAAAACTTCCGACAACACTTCTTCGAACAATCAACTGTAAACAGAATGCCGTCAGAGCTGTTAGATTTAATGGTTTGTTTTAATAATTTCATCAATTATCCTTTGGAAAATTCATTCGACAGTATATTATTCTGCGTTATTAGTATTCCATAAAGACAAATAATTAGTGGTTTAAATCACTTCTAATATTGGATGGAATTTAGTGGATGGAAACTATTGCTTATCTTGTGGTGCAGACAAGTCAGTGAAGTTATGGAATCCGTATAAGGGGACGCTTCTGAGGACGTATACAGGAACAGGATGGGAGGCTCGTTTTGTGTTTGATCGCTTTGCTTGATAATGTTTAATTAACTCGTACAAAATAAATAGTTTAAGAAGTTAATATGTCATAGCATTCTTTTGATATAATTTGGTGAATGAACTCTTAAGTATAATGTTCAAGTAATCATAGAATATCTGTGAAATAATGTTAATTGTAAATGATGTAGGTAATCGTAGATGTTGAAGATGTAAGTCTGGCAGACAAATTTATCGTACTTTAAAAAAGCTAGAAATCCCACAATATTGTTTATGAGTCAGTTAAGTGTTTCAGATGTTTAAATTCATATATTTATTATGATGAATTGCTTCATTTGTCAAAAATTATTTCAGTTTTATACTTGCTGCAGGTTCTAGATGCACAGGGTTCCAGTGATAATTCTATGATACTTGTTGGTGGCATGGACAAACAGTTGACGGTATTCGATGTTGAAACCGGAAAAATAACACGACGCTGGAGAGGACACAATGGTCCTTTTGTTTTTTAATTCATCAAAATTAATTATTAAACATTTCTTTACTAAAATTAGATCGTTTAAGGTCAGGTTAATAGTGTGGCATTCAATGAAGAATCGACGGTAGCAGTATCTGCTTGTCAAGATGGCGTCGTGCGATGCTTTGATATTCGTGATAAAAATGCGCCTATACAAGTTATTTTCTACTTCTTCAGTATTTTCTTCATTTTTGTTTTTTTTTCAGTTATATGTGTTAATTCAGAAGTTTGCTTCACCAGTCACCATTTAATTTGCAGCAGATGGATGAGGCCACGGATGCGGTGTTAACAGTAGATGTCAATTCGCATGAGATTGCTTCAGGTTCAGCTGACGGGAGTATTCGGGTCTATAACATTCGAGATGGAAAGCTAACTGATGGTAAGCTTATATATACAATTTTGGTTAGATAAAAGTTTTGTTAAAGTATCGACAATTAGGTTATTTGTTAGAAAGCGTTAAATGCAACTTTATAAAATATATTTTTGTGCTTGTTATATTGAACATATATCGAACATCATATTTCAGATTTTCTCGGCGATAGTGTTACATCGTTGCATTTCTCAGCGGATGGTCAGTGTTTACTTGCGTCCACTAAAGATGGCTTCATTCGGCTGATCGATAAAATGAATGGACAGCTACTAGCGGAGTTTGTTTGCATTTTCCATTTATTTATTTTATTTATTTTTTCAAATTTATCTCATTTTGCTGCTACTATCTCTTTTCATTTCCTTCAAATTGTATTAAAATTATTGGGCGTACCATACTGCAAGAAAATGATTTCTTTTAGAAGATTTCTCTGCAGACATACCTTTATAATTGTGAGATTTTTTTACTTGATTCATCAATGTTTTCTTCCTTCTGTTATAATTTTTTACTTTTTTTGAATTTTTCATTGGAATTTTGGGTTTATTGAAAAAGTTGAATTACAACTGCTTGTGCTTCCCTACAGACTTCAGTTATGAAGAAATTTCAGCTACACAGGCCATATAAATACTGAATATCGTGTGGAAAGCTGTTTGCTTTCTACTGATGCACACGTTGTAAGCGGTTCGGAGGATGCTCATTTGTATATCTGGAATTTGATTGAGGTATATACGCTAACACTTGTATTGACATTTTTGTTCTACTCATTTATTTTTGAGAAATTTATTATTTAGAGAAGAAAGCTTTTTTTAATGTTTGAAAGTGGAAATGTTTTCGTTGGAAAACTGAAATAATTTGGCTTGAAGCTAAATTTTAAAAAATGCAAAGGTTTGTATGTTATTACATGTTTTTTTACTATTTTTCCGGATTTAATCTTTTTTTTTCGAAATATTTCAGATGAAGATATTGCACAAGTTACCGCATCCGAATTCCGTAGTGCATTCGATTAGCTCACATCCAAAGAAGCCAGTTCTGTTGTCTTCATCAGCAACAAATATATTTTTATGGGGCTTGCAAAAAGAAGAAGATGTATCTGATTGAAAATTTCCTTTTCAAATATTGCTTTATCTTAATTATGCAATTTTTTGTTTATAAGTAACATTTTGACAGTTAATTGAATTTTTAGGAATTTTAAAGTTTTGACAGTCAGATTTTAGAATTCTTTCTTTGTCATAAACAGTCTCAGTCATTTGTGAATTATAAGTTGAAGAAACTCAAGTAGATCTTATTTCAATTTTTCTTTACGTGAAGGTGGGTTTGAAATGAAATGAAAATTCAAAATTCTAAAAACGTGCATTATATTTTAATAAACATATATATAAATAGATATTTCCATTCTCGTTGATCTCGTTCAAATTCCAATTTGTAATATGGACTAAATTTACTTACTGCAGCTCTGTTTTAATCAATCTGTTGCAAAAATCTGATCACTAATTAAATTGCAAATGATTCTTTGCCGAATTTTACGGATTTGAGTAATATACATTTGTGTTATTGGCAATATTTGTGTGTGTCATGTGCATGTATGTGTCGGTATTGCATATGCTGTCGAAATGCACTTAATTAATGCGCGTTCTTTCAATGAGCCGCCTTTTGAAGACTGTAGTAATAGAAGAGGTAATCCATTTGAAGTGGCTTAACGCTCTTATCATCAAGATGGCTTTAAACGACCTATTTAATATATATTCACCTATATTTGCAAGTGCTCTTAAATCGTTCAAAAGCTATTTTTGGTAGGTATGCATTTTGTCGCATTAAGCAGAGACTTAATGCTTAAACACAATTATAGTGATTTTCATTTCATGTATCATGTGCTTAAAGAGAAATAGTGATTTGTGTTATTATTTTAATGATTTGTATATACCTGTTCCGATTAATTAATTATTTCATTCTCTTTCCCTATGTTTATAACAGTTGTCCGTGAACAATCAAATAAACGTATGAAGAAAATAGGGAATTGCACGTGAAATGCATCGTAGCTCAAATGTTTAATACTTTTCTCATTAAATTTGACCTGATATTTCCAAATTATTATGATCATAATATAACTATTTATAAACTTCAAGATTTTAATTTAGGACTTCGAATTTTTTGCAATTTTATTAATATGATGTGATGGGGGCGAAGAGGTCAATCTGTACGCAATACGTTGGAGACATAATTTTGTTGTGTTTATGTCTATTTGCACAGTGGTCCGTAATTACAGTATCAACTTGCACCATTTGGCACACAACAACACTCTTCCTATGTAAATTAGTTGATTTTCATTTCCGTTTGTTTTTTGCTCTTTTTTTGAGATTGGCATTGTCAAAAACAATATTAGAGGTGTCAAAGGTCACAAGGACGGTATACTTCAAAGTACGAGCTCTTTTAATTATGCTATTTCTTCATTTTTCACATAAATTATATTTCAATTTGTTCGAATATATATATGTCTCTTATTATTCTTACTGCTATATTTAAAAATTTACTTTGTTTCACTCTTCCTTCAGATCGTCTATTTTCTATTACATTATGCACGGTATTTTTGTGATCTATAGAGATATTTGTGCAAAAAATTGGTAATTCATTTCACTAGTTTCTAGATTTAATTTCGCACAATTAAAAGTGTACGAAATTAAATCTAGAAACATCACATTTCAGTTTTAAGCTTTCTATGACCTACTTCTATCATTTATTGAAGTTTCAATCATTATAATGGAGCATATAGATAAATGAGATGTGAAATTAATCCTTAAATTCTACTAACTCTCTTTTATCAATTGATACATCGACCAAACAGATCAAATCATTTTAATGAAAGTTTGGATTAATTTACTTATTGTCTATAGTATCCAAAGATAATTGAACTTATTAGTATGAAAGTTGCGATCCTAATTCTAAGTTCTACTGTAAAAGATACCAAAAATCATTTCATGTTGTTATATTGTGTTCTGTTCCATTAAATAATTTCCTACACCCTAAGCATCCTTTGGTGATCTCGAAACCGCAACAATTAATGCTCGTAACCGGTCCAGACATCAACGGTTTCCAATAACGGCGCCAGGCCATGCTTAAATTAACCGTTCACAGCAAACTAACCAACTAATTATTCTTTTGTTAATATAAATGTCACTGCAACTAATTGCAACGCACCACTTTCTTTTCTAATCAAAATTATGAATTAGTTCCAAGAAAGTAACAATAAATTTGTGAAATTTTGAAAAACTTGATTTACCAAGTTTGACAAAAATGTGAATTATTCTACTAGTTGTCGGTAAAATCATTAATCTATTACTACAGTAATATTGTTCGCTACATTCCAAATACGTTACATTTAAAAATTCATATATTAGCATTAGTTGGAAAGTTAGATATCTGTTCTTATCCCTCTCTCTCAAAATTAATGAATTTTCAAAAATTAGTGAAATAATGATTGGGTTATCGATTTTTTTCAGTAATTTGTGACATTAACAAATTACTACTAGTAAATTAATTTAGCAAAAATCCCTAGTTATCAATTCATGTACACAACAGTATGTCGTTTATTATAATAGTATCGTTAGTATCGTTCATAATAATCGGTTGGTCGCATGCAGTACTACAAAGTGAGGCACGAAATATTGAAACGAGATAACAATAAATAATTACCAACATGGATGGCATGTGATTCATGTCATTTGCACCATAATAATCTTGCAATTTTTTGTGAATATATTAAATTATTGTGTGCTAATGGGACTGTTAAAAAATATCATAATTAAAAATATGAATGAAATGGTACATCGTTGAAGTTATTGGCAGGAGGAAAGAGACATCATTGTGATATCATGCTGATATTATCAGTACAAGATTGTTGAATTATCATTGCTTTTACTATGACAGTTAACAGTGGTTTGACAATTTACATATTATTTAGCATTTATAATATTGTCCTTTTTTAATGCATGTTAAAGTGGTTAGTTTTTTTTGTATGTTACCATTTAATTGTATTGATTATAAGCATTGCATTGATTATAATATTTTACAGTATTATCAAAGCTTTATTATGTGTTATAATCGAAATGATTTTAGTACTTCAGTTAATATTATTTAATATTTGTCGCATAGAGAGTCATGATTCATGACTATTTTTCCACAATATCACCACTAATAAGTGATTTGAAAGTGAAAAGGCTTCTTTAAAGAAGCTTTGTATTAATAAGTTTGCAACTAATTCGACAAGATGGAGCCTTTAAAGCAGTAATTGCCTTTTTCCCTTCTCATCTTCTGCTCAAAATAAACTTATTACATTTTATATGAAAGATCTTAAAAGGGAAGAAGAAAAGAGTAAGTGGATAGAGCTCGAGATGGGAAACTTAATTAGTTGGCCCATTAGCTGTGATGCTCAAGCAGCTATTACTGATCTGTTGTTAGAGAACGATCCCTGTTATTATGCACTCCTCGCAGTACCCTTTATATCTTCAAATTAAAGCTGTAAATTACGATACTAAGAGTGAAAGGGATATCAGTGCAATGAAATTGTGCAGCAAAATAATGTGCTCATTTTAGCATGGAAAAGTTTCAGAATCCTCTAATTAGCTCAAGTATGAAAAGCTCAAATAAAATGGAGTGAGAATGAGTTCAGATAGCCAAAACTCAGGAAGTGGAAAGTTACTTTCTGAAATGCAAGACTCTCAATTTTCTTTAATAACTAAGCAGATTACAATGGCTAGTTAACAGTTACATTATTGGCAACCTGAAATGAAGAGGTCAAGTTTAATTGAAAATAATTTAAATTTGATTGAAGTGAGGGAAATACTGCATTTGGAAATATTTCAATGATTGGTTTCGTTTCATTGTAAAATGGATATGAATCATGCATACAGATATAAACAGTGAATTTCCTCTTTAATAACTTTTAATTAGCATATTTGATTGCTTTTAATAGTCGTAAAAATTAGACAAAATCACGTTGATTACATGTGCACGTCCCTCTAACCATGAAACATAACTTTGTTTTGTTCCGGAATCGTCCAATACACTGAATCCGCAGCAAGACGAAGTTACAGGAAGTTGAAAGAGAGAGAGAGAAAGAGAGAGGGAAAGAGGGAGGGAAGGAAGGAAAGTGAACGAGAAGCAAATTATCAACAATCCATTGAGCTTTTCTACACCCTGAGCACTTACCCATTCATTCACGTCTAACACATTGAGCGCTTCATGGAACCGCCCATTTGCAGCATTCAATTTGAAATGATTACGGTAAAACGAGCTGTGACGAATGAGATGATGAGTTTGGATTACCCGCAGTATAGGAACTCCAAATATGTACATGGCAGAGCCAACGAGTGCTCCTAGCCCGAGTACGGGTGCTGTCAATTATTTCTCCATCAATCATTTACTCCGGCAGTCATCATTTTCATCTTCAGAACCGTGTACTACTGATCCCAAAAATAATTCCCAAATAGATGATGAAACTCCCGGAACATCTAATAAGCAAATTCCTGAAAAGGAATTAGAAACAGTGGTAGTAACCTCTAACTCTATTGAGTCAACTTTGGAAATATCTGATAATGATCGCTTACTTACCGCTCTGCAAACCAGTGATACCTGTGTACAACCTCATTTCTCACTATCCCTAAATCCCACCACCGCAACAATTGACTTACTGAAGCAGTCAGATTCTTTTGTTGATCGAAAATCCGACAATGATACAACTGCTGCATCACATTTTGACGAGAAATCAGTCCTGTCATGTCGCGAAACAGCCATACCGCTATGGTTGAATTGTGCTACTGCAACCGCTGCTGTACTTCCTTTTGAGCAAAGTTTCTTAATGGCTCAAAGATCTGGTTAGTTCACTTTCTTGACCTCTTCATGTCAGGCTGCCAATAATGAAATTGTTAACTAATCATTGTAATCTGCTTAGTCATTAAAGAAGATTTTTCACTTTAACCAAGATCTGGTTAGTTCCACGGATATTCTAACTTTTTAAAAGTAACTCCAGGTTGAAAATTTTGGATTCCAATCGCTTAATTTGCGTAGTCCACATTTCTGGGAGTGAATGAATTCAGAGAAAGAACTTATGCCATTTTAATTCCTCGTTTGTTATTATCAGTACTAAAATATAAATTAGAAATTTCAGTTGAAATTAGGTAAAATTCAAAATAGCATTCGTTAAATAATTTATGCCATTTTAATTTTTATACTATTTTAATTTCTAGTTTGTTATTATCAGTGCTGAAATATAAGTTAAGTTTGAACTTGGCTTAAATTGTTGTTAAGAAGCTCACAGTAGTACGCTTCAAATCATTTATTTGAGCTCGATTTAATGAATTCTTTGATAACTGATACACTAGGTAGTAAGAAAAAAATTATATCACTCCTCTTTATTTCTCTAAAGTAGATTTCAATTATTTATGCTGATGCATATTTTTATCATCATGCTCTCTCTATCAAATTAATCAGTTTCAAGCAAATAATATATATTTTTTTCCACTTTAAGTCCGATTTTCTTCGATTACACTTTTCAGACTTTTGCTTCTCTTCTTGCAACTGTAAATGATAAATATATTTCAATTTTGTTACAATAATTTATAGCTTCCAAAAAATATTTCATAACAAATCACGCAAGAAAATTTATTAATCCATAAATGGGTTTGCAATTTGGTTCAGAATATTTTAGCGGCAGTATTCCCTCACTTGTGGGCAGCCTCAGCTAGTACTGATGCTTTGCGACTGGTATCAACTAGTAAATCATATCGGCGTAGGAAAGCACGTACTGTATTTTCGGATCAGCAGCTACAAGGTCTGGAGAAGAGGTTTGAAACACAACGATATCTGTCAACACCAGAACGTATAGAGCTTGCTACTGTTTTGAATTTGAGTGAAACACAGGTATGACTCCAAAAATACTGGAAAATTTTGTCGAAAAAAAAATTCAACTCAACAATGATTATAAAAGTTCGATTAAAAGAACTGCTTATGAAGAAAATAACGATTGTTTACACAGGTGAAAACATGGTTTCAAAATCGGCGTATGAAACATAAAAAGATAGTCCGAAAGCAAGGTGACAGCTGTATTAGCAATGGAGACAATGCCACGAAGACGGATAGCGTGGATTCAGATGAAAGATGATTTAAATTATTTAAGTACAGACTTTGAAATGATGATTATTGTATCATTGAAATCTACAAGAATGGACAAGTTTTCTTATTTTTATAATTTCTCGTGTATTTGAAAAACAAGTTTGGAACTTTAAACATATCTGAAAGTGCATGGTGTGATTTTTTTTAACTTTATTCATGCAAGGTATGTTATTTTAGAATTTTATGGTATGCAATAAAATGTAGAAAACTGTGTTTTAATTACGAAAACCGTTTGATACTACAAATATTTTGAAAATTATTTTTTTCATAAAATTTGCATGTTGAATGATATTAGCAACATTTGTCTTTGCAGCTATTTCTGTATCATTTCAAAATAATTCATTAATTTAATGAAATCTACCATTCAAATGATTTGTATGGTATTGATATTTAATAGTCGTATTAAAGTTTGATTAATATTATAAAATTAATAAGAAATAAAATAAAATAAGCAGAACGAAATGGAGTTTTCGGGTTGCATTTGCGGATTAAAACAATAAAATTTATTAAAAGCAAGAAAATCGAGTGGATTTTTTTCCACTGTTCAATTACTAGAAACCTGCTAACGCCTGCTAATTAGCAGAGCATTTCAATCTTTAGCAATGGCAAAATTTTTATGACATTTGAATAAATCTTTAATAATAAATTCCATCATGCAATTCTTATAGCACCATTAAAGACTAGAATTTTAGAACTAGTAATAAACAATTTTTTTAAGATTTCTTGAAATCTACAAGACTAGTATAACGAAGCCTATTCGATTCTTTTAAAATAGCAAGAATTACTATCATCAAATAATCCATTTTTTTAATTAATTGAAAAAAAACGGGTTGATCAAAAAGCACAATCTTCGCCTATTGTAAATCACAAAGCTTCTTTCTCTTCATCACTGCCACTCCCTCATTTCGCATAAAACAAATGATTAGAAATTTAAAGGTGCTCACATTAAGATCAACAAATAACATAGTTAGAATCCCATCAAACAATCTTACAATACTGCAGGACTTCTCAAGTAACCAACCAGAAATTCTACCAAATCCTCCTGTGAAATAGCTCTGACCTCGCTCATTTGTAACAAAAATTCATTATAACAATTTTTTATTCCTGATTGGATTAATGAATTTCTCTGGTTAATGCTGCAACCAAATTCATCTATTCAGTGCTATTGCGTAACAGCAATAGCAGTAACAATTTGCAGAGCAAGACGAAATGCTGCAAAAATGAATGAGGACGTAGGAAGAGAGCTTTATTATACAATATTCTATTCCAAAACTGTCTAATTAATTGGACACCAATCAAAGCTTATTATTGCTAATCGCACAAACATACGAAGCTGATGACCCAAAACCAACCTGTCCTATTTTGTTGATCATTCATTTTCTTTTTTGCTGCAAGACTGAATTTCAATTTCATCAAGTAAGAAATAAATCAAGAATTTTTTGTTGAATGAAAAGTTATAAAAATGACGCATCATGATAACAGTTTAAATTAATTAATCTACGATTCAGCTACAGGAAGGACTAAAGTATGAAATACTCGTTATAACAATTCTGCACTGTGACTGCTTTTAGCTGAAGCAATTTTTTCTTTTCTTTTCAGAAAGCATTTTCCGCTTTTTCTATAATAAAAATTTGCGTCCTTAAAATAATAAATTTTGCATTGATAAGCAGAGTAAATAATTCCAACTCTGCTTAATCAATTTTCATTTGCTAAAGTTTACTCTTTACAATGTAACAGACTATTAAAGACCACAATGCATGTTTGCAAAATATAATTGCCCATGAACTATTTCGTGTAGAAAACAGTATAAAACATTTAAGACTAACCAGTCCACTTTGCAGTAATGTAAAAAGGAAGCAGAACCCAAAGTGATAATTTCAAATATTTATTCGCAGAAAAAAAATAACGACAATGAAAAACAGATCAATGAAATTACGCCTGTAATTACAGAATTGACTTGATAACATTTTTAAAGGAATAAAAAATAATCAAGCAAGGCCATTATAACCGCATTATAAGGACTAGAAGAAATGAAACTTAAAATTTGAATTTGAAACTAAAAATAATTAAATGTATCATAAAAAGATAATTCCGCAAACAAACACACGGAATTTGCAAAAAAGGTTAAGAAAAATTACCTATTCCAAAAAAAAAAAAAACTAATGGTTTTAATTTATTCGCTCATTTAAAGTGGTTTCACGTAAAATTTTCAAAATATATCGGGAATCTCCAATAAAATAATCCGCAGTTTTCTATTATAAATTAAATACATGTTAGAAAAAAGTGCACTGTAATGCATAAAATTGAACACTTAAAAAATAGTGTGTGGAAGAAACGCAAAATCTTTACAACATCATTTACAAATATCTTTTAAAATAAAAACGAAATTGTCCATCCATAATATGATGCAGTACTGCAAAATTCTGAACTTCAAGAATAACTATGACAAATGTTCGAAAACACATCTAAACCATCTGAAAATAAAACAAACAGTAACTATTTCCAAAAATAAAATTTTTTTATAGCACTACGAACAAGAAAGCCAAATAGATTAATGGAGAGATAATGAAAATCCCCTGCTCCACTTTTTTCTCAGTGAATTTTTTGATTTTCAGTAATTCAGTAATATTATAAAAAACATATAAAACCACACTGAAATACGGAATTACAAAAAAATGCATTACGGAAAAAAAACCAATAGCGAATTCTAGAATTTTACTGGAATTTTTTTAACAAAACTTCTTTATTCATCTCTGATTCACTAGAAACATGTTCATGCCAAATTCTGTTCTACGATAGTTGAGTTTTGCTGATGACAAAATTTAGTAATGGAAGAAACTCAAAGATAAAGCACTACTGGGTATACTTACCGTTCATTTTCCTTTCATCAATTTCATATTCCATGGAGAGATTGCTAAAAACATCTTCACAGCAAACACTGTCATTTTCACAATGATTATGATCCCTCTGCAAAAATCTTGTTTCTAAAACGATCGAAAATTTCTTTCCCATATAGAAATGATCAACTGTGAAACGCTCACCGACTGTCAAACTAATATGCAATTAAAATGCAATGGTATGAAACAGTATGAAATGACTATTACCTTGTTATTGATAGAGAGATGTATTCTTATAACAAAAGGTTCTTTAACTTCTAAATTCGTCCATACGAATATATTGTTCATCAAATGATTCTTTATTCAAAAATGACCTAAAGATCTCACCTAAAGCCCTTAAAGATTTCTTACCTAAAGATTTCACCTAACCGTCTCACCTCATATGAAATGATTTATTATATCTGTTCATATTACCGACAAATCTCGAGCTCACTTTTAGCAGTGAAAAAAGAAACCGATAAATTATCCTTATCGACTGACAACAATTTACTGATCGGCGGCAATTCATCAATTGCTAATAATTCAGTATCATCATCTAGCAAATTCAGCAAAGATGTTCCATCAGTGAATGTTATGTCACGAACAGAATAAACATCATTCTTAAAGATATTAATCAAACAAATAACAAAAATGTTTTTAATAGTTTAAGTGGCATAAATGAAATTTCTGCAAAATCCAAATGGTGATAATAATAATCAAAAAAATGAAGTTAGCATAAAATAATAATTCGAAAAACTAATCGTATTCAATTAGATTTTATGAAAGGAAAGAATCAAAAGAGTTTGAAAGTACATGCTTATCGTGAAGTGTCGTAATTTTTTTTCTGTCGACGATGCATACATTCAGGTACACATTCTCTTTTCCAGAACAAATATTTTTTAATAATTCTTCATGCTTGGTTGTTAACTTTTCGCCCCTTAAAACGAAACCAACGGCAAGTGCAGGACATGTGCGTAAGAAAAATGCAGCATGTGCATCTAAAACTCCATAAAATATTTCGTACTATCTTATGAAATATATTTGTGTTCCTTCCAATTACCAATCTCGCAAATCATTTCATAACATTTTCGATAAAATTCGTTTCATTCTTGTTATTTAATTCTAAAAGACTATAACGGATATTTTACAAGAAACTAATCCCAGAAAAATAACCTCTCAATGCAAAAAAACTTGTCATGGAAGATATTTGCGAATTCCTGTAAAATTCGATGATTTTTCCTTCATCGACAAGGAAATATTTTTCCTGAAATCTCAAAATTAGACACTATTGCTGTAGTTAGTGAAAATACAATCAACATGACCGCAATCTGAGAAAAATGTTAAATCAATTCTCCCTTTTGAATTTTCAGATATTTAAATGTGTTGTAGAATTCTAACGAGCATGATTTTCAATAAAAACTTAAAAAATATATTACAAAAAATGAAGAGAAGAGCTTATTGAATAATAGATGGAATAAAAAAGTAACTTTAACATTAAAATTAAGTTCCGATTATGTTTAATGGAAAAATGTAATTCAGTTAAATAATTATAAGAATGAACGTACTTTTATTTGTCCAAAGTGCTTGCTTTTTTCATGCAGTTTGATAACACGGCGATACTTGTTTTTGTATAGAATGATACCTTTTGCATCTTTCTTACAAGTTTCCAGGTCATAAATACATACCTTAAAACAAAGCAAGAAAGTTAGAAAAGTATTTCCAGATTGTAGCAATGCAAAAGCATTACTTATTTCTATGGATATGAACAAATATCAATGACAGTTAGAAAAAAAAAGAAAAACGAATTTGTTAAAGAAAGGGAATACATAAAAGGCACATAAGGAGCATAAAAAGGCAATATTTATTTATTATATTATTCAAACTTACCATAAGCTTATCTAGTAACAATTTCAATGGTTAATTTTATGAAGCACGCCTGTTCACTGTCTATCATCAAGAAATTTTCTCCAATGTACTAGGGTTTAAACTGTTTGCACTGAACTAATGTGTGAAATGAGCAAGGCTCTAATTACTTTTCACGAAGCTATAAATAAATTTTCCATAAAAACAATGTAAAACAAGAAAGCATAAGCACCTTTTCTAAATAATTTTGGCAATCCTTGAGCAAAGTTTCAAAAGTACTCGGGATTCCATATATAATACCATCCTCAACGTTAAGGTATTGGATCTTAAAATTTTTCATTGGCAATAAATCTATCGTCGATGAGTAATAATTACAGTGCCTGTACACAGCCAAATCATTAAATACCAGAGTGGTAGCTAAATCATTGTGAGACAACGTTTTATCAACAATCTAAAATATAATTTTAAATCATCAAAATATAACAAAAAAGCAGGATGAATCTGAGCATTTTATCTATTTTGGATATAGAGCTCATTCTACAGCAACAAGATAGTGAAATATGAAAGTTCATTACTCTCAAATATTATCATCATTGCTGATATATCTTAATAAAAATACAAAAAGATCAGTGAAATTATAATATTACGAATTTAAATGAAAATCTTGAATCTTAGTAACCGAATATAAAAAAGTAATGAATTCAAATTAAGTGTTACTTGAATTGGATGGACACCACTTGAGTCAGATGGACCAATAAATGCTCTAAATTCCTTGTTCAGTGGAACAACACTGTTGATTACTTTGAGCGCTTTACGCGACCAACTACCTGTTCGTACATCTAAACCTCTGCCAGCAGGATCTATTTCTCCTAATCGACATTTGATTCCGAATACTGGAGTTTCAAAGATTATCTAAAGTTTTACATATCTAATGTATCAGACGTACTTGATGGAGAATCAGTACCAACCAAATAAAATCAAAGAATGAATATACGTAGAATAAAAAAAAGATGGTTAACATCTGCATCAGTACAAAGATACGAATCGGTCCGATTATTTCTAATAAAGTAGTTTGCATGGAACTTACAAAAAAAATTACATCTCTTATTAAACTGAGACATAAATAAAAAAAAATCTCTAACTTCTTCTTGATTATCAACAGAATAGAGAGAATCTCCATCTAATTCCTGCTCTTCGCCATAATCAACATAATTTATGATAAAAGATTTCTTCCCATCAATCGTATCAACTATTTCACATCGAAACAGCTGGCCTTCACATTCGACAATACAGATATCACCAATTTCTGGATTGCGCAGAACATGTTCGCCGGGTTTTAGATGCCTTTGAAACTGTAAAATAAAGTTTCTTGGAAATCAGCAAAAAAAGAAATTATTCGAATAACTTCGGAAAAAAAACCAACTATATCAAACATGGCCAAATGCATTCGTATCGCACACATTTAAACCCATGATACTACCAACTTGGTAATCTTAGTGTCCAATCAAATTTCAGATTATTTTTACGATAGGTAAATCTCACAACATATATTTTCAAAGTAATTATATCACTGATCTAAAAAATAACAAACCTCAATTAAATCATTTCGTTTGTTTCCGATTTGTACAGTAAATGTCGTGTGTACATCATCCTCATCATCAGTACGCTGAACGATTATTCCTTCATTTATTGACTCAAGATTATATGATGGTACTTTCCAAGTCCAACGATGTTGTGCAAAATCACTAAAAATTTATCAGCAACCGTGAATATAAGTAAAAACATGCTGTGTTTTCACTTACATTGCTGCTGATCAAGAAAGCTTCCTGTTCCTACAAAAAAAAATCGCGATGCTTAGATTAATCGATAATGCTCAAAAATAAAACAATTAAACGCTTGTTCATCATTAATATCTGCAAAGTATTTGACTATATATCAACTATAAAAACTGTATATCAACTGTGATTACTTACAGTTTACACAATATGTCGAAAAGACTCTCTCCTCCCGGCAAAAAAATTTCAACTTCAAGAACATATCTGCGTGACACTTTTGCTATATATACATCAAAAATCTGATTGGTCATGAAGTTTTCGGTAAAATATAATTTTGCTTCATCAGAATACCTCTGAAATATAAAGGAATATAAACAACCTTCACCGGTACTCAATTAACAGTCTGTTGGAAGAGCTTTAACTGCTGTAAAAATTTGAATTATAAATGGAAAAAAACCTCTGAAATATGAAGGAATATAAACAACCTTCACCGCTACTCAATTAACAGTCTGTTGGAAGAGCTTTAACTGCTGTAAAAAAAAAAAAATTTTGAATTATAAATGAAAAAAAAAATGTTTTAGAGTAGTCTAAAACAATAGTGATGTGATTAAACGTGATAATATCAAAGTGCAAAATAAAAAATTCATGTCGCATACATTGTTATTGAAGGGTTTTGGGGCGGAATGTGAAAGTCGGCATGCAAATGTTGCTTTTAATCGATTTTTCAATTCCTCATCCACTTGTTCGCTACCACAAAAAAGTGCAGCATCCGATCCAACGATGCTGCTGACCTGTACAAATTCCCCATCACTTCTAAAATTCTCAATTTACTATATCAAGGTTTCGTTAGCTTAAAATAAAATCCCAGTGTCGCTTTCCGATGTTTGAATAAAAGATGGAAAAATTCTGATATTGTAATCTATTATATTAAAAAATTAGATTGGGGACAAAAAAATTAAAGAAATCATAAAAAAAGAGATAAGGTGCTGACTGAAAAGTAAAAACGAAGGAATATTTTATGGCTTAATGGCATGCATTTAGTGCATTATATTTTAAAGAAAAATTTTATTTTACTGATTCTAAGAAAAAGTTATACTTGATATCACGTTGAATGTCAAAGAGCAATCTGTGCCAAATATTATTTTATTGACTCTAAGAAAAAGTTATACCTGACATGGCGTTGAAGGTTAGGTATCAACAACAATCTATGCCAAATATTGTTGTACTTTCCACACAAAGATGTGGAGTAAATTTGCAAGTCTTCGAAACCATCTGGATTATTCAAAAAGTGCAAATAAAATAAACCCGGTCCTGAGTTCTATAAATTAAACACATGGAATCAACAGAACTGCCATAATTGTCTAGTCTTTCAAAACATTATTTTAATTGATGACATACTATAAACAAGCACAAATTAGTTCTTCGGAAAGAAATCATGACGCCAAAAACATCATGATTTCTTTAAAATAAGTCTTTCAATGAATGCTATTTTATTATTATTATAATTTCAAAACAATTTTGAACATTTAATAAGGTAAAATAACCTCAGTTGGAATACGTATTGCTCGGTAGTAACTCCCAGCTGAAACCAGTTGCTTCTCAGGACATCTATCATTCGTCTTCTCACCTTTCTTAAAAAAATATCCATTTACAATATTATAAAAAGTAATTACAATGCGATTTCCAAGATTTAACTTCCAGTGCGCTTTACAGTGATTTTGCAGATTTCGTCCTTCTAATGAAAAATCGAACTGTCACTTTACTGATTAGGTATGCACATAAAGAAAAAGAAATAGTAAATTTTTCGAGCCTCATCGGTTCAGCGATTATACTATAAGATGACTGAAGATCGTTCTGTACCTTTTAGACTATCTTCAATAAAACTATGTTATATACCTTTTTTCCATAGTATTGTTATAGTTTTTCCTAAATTAAAGCACCTTTATTTCCGCAATAGTTTACATTATATATTTCACAAATTTTAATTAGTGTTAGAAATTAATATTCAAATACCCCCTATTATATTGAAAATAACAGACTACAATGACAGAAAAAATCCCCTCTCAAACATATCCTAAAGAATCGAATCCATAAAGTTGTGAGATACACCTCACTATCACTTGAACACAATGAGATAACTGATCGTTCATCCTCGGCAAACGAATGTTCCGAATGTTCCGAATGATCATCTTTATCGGATAATAATAAATCACAGACATGATTGAAACATACAGCAGCGTCTTGTATCTGCCCTGTATAAGCAGGGTCTAAAAAGTAACAAATCATACAGTCATGATAAACTTTAGGTTAATTTCATCTAAAACTTTTTCGCGACATTTTACATCTTCCCTTTGTAAGTGATCATTTTGTATATAAGAATTAGCAGAAATTCAGTAACTTAATGAATTAGAGAAATTCTCTAATTTCTCACTCAATAATTCAAATTCAGTTAACGCTGCACTACTAGTAACTAGATGATACTTTTAAACAATCTTGAAAATTTGTATAGAAATTTTAAGCTAATCAATATGCATGATTTACACGATATATTTAAGCGCTTTTCTGTTATACCCAACACTTTTCCGTTTATTCAATGAAAACGCCGCAATATCTTCAGCATTTCAAATCTAAGAAATCTTGTATTACCAACACTTGCCAACTAACAAATAGCATTGCTTACACCAACAAAAAAAGAAACGACACCTTTATTATTTTCATGAGAAGCATTGACTGCCTGAATACCTTCTAGCAATATATTCCCTATGTCATGAATCTCTCCATTTTGGTTTCGTATTATCATTGTACCAACGAATGCTTCGCCGTTTTCTGAGACATGTTCTAAACATGAATTTTTTATTAATCTTCATTTCAAATCATTTATATTTTCTTTTTTTAAAAAGATTTCCCAAGTTTTCACTATACGCAAGTAAACAATAAGAAGCTAAAGAAACAGAATTGGAAGTAAATTAGCTACATAAATGAGAGAAGTAGTAAGAAAGTTTACTCAAGCGGAAAGCTACAATAGAATCGCTAATTGCTTCGTTAAGTTCATCATTTGATATCAGTGGTTCTTCAATATCAACATCCAGTAACATCAGAAAAGCTTGTGGAGGTATTTTCAGCAATTGCTCATCAATCACATACAGCTGGTCTAATCCTATCTCCATTGTGTGACCAGAATCAATCAAATAAGTCTTAAAAATTATTGAATAAACAAACAGATAATATCAAATAACAACAGAAACATTTAATAAACAGTCGAATTCCAAAGACTATTGATCTGCAGCTTACCGTACATGTCATGAAATGTGTTTTGCACATAACACATCCACGAACAAATCTTTCACCAATCCTGAAAATGATGTGATATATCACTAGAATTAAACAAAACTTTAAAATTTTGGTCAATCCTTTTACAAAATTTTCCTAAAAACCTATGAAATTTATAATTTTTATATGCTATCATCTATTTTTAAACCGATTTAATTCTAACATTCAATGCCACCATTAAAAACATAAGCTTATAAGTACGATATTTACACAAAAATTTTAAATAGCTCAAATATTGAATACTCTTACAATAACCTATATCTAAACTAACTTTGCAAGAACAATTTCTCCAAGTGCTGGATCGAAAAGAGATTTACAGTTGGCTAATTTCACATCGTCGAGTATTTTCTGCAAATTATCCAATAAAAAACGGTTCCTTTCTAGCGTGCCGAAGAATTTCTCCATATCTTTAAATAAAAAATAAGAATAATACAATCATGTTTCGCTGTATTTCCTAAATCAGTAATCGGTCAATCTACCGATATTTCATTGTCATTTACCGTTCGCTTTTTATTGACATGTTCCTTTATTTAGAATTAATTTCTTTGTTATCATTCTTAACAGTGTCAGATGCACTATCTTTTTAATTAGTTCTTAAGTAAATTATTAATAATTATATACATTTGTTTTTACCGCATGGACAAATTTTTCACCATATTTTGCAACCAAAGAGCTAATAATTCTATAACTTCAACATCCATTACCCGAGCCAAAATGATCCATTTGTTTCCATCAACTTAGAATATATTTTTCATTCACTACTAGTACTGTATTTTCGAAAGATGAAAAATTAATTTATCACCTTCAATGTTAGTAATTCGAACATAAACGAAATTATCAACAGCAGTGGGCAGTTCCAATGGTGGTAAATTGCAAATTTGAAATCGCGTGCTACTGGCCGGTCGCTTCATCGTTTCTCCTTGACTGTTTATTTCATAAGATATACCCTCTGGAAAAAAAGGACGTTTAACAAAAAGAAAACTCTCATTTTCTATTTCAGTATTTCATAATAAAACTATTCAAAATTTAAGTCTTCAAACTTCTCTATAAATCCTATCAATTCATTCTGGAATGTCTTTATCGAAACCATAAAAACATATGAAATCCATTACAAAACTAACTTATCAATGCCCTGGCGTAAAAATCGGAATAAGCGGAATTGTTCATAGTGCGAGAATGTTTGCCATAAACGATAAATATAAAAAATCTAGAAATCGAGCATCAGTACGATATTTTCCTTCGATTTGAAGCGAATACAGAGATGGGCGGAAGAGTAATAATTTCTTCAGCTTAACGTTTATTACTACGGCATCCTTTTATGCTTGCTACTTTTTTGTTGTAATTAATAAGAAATTGAAACTCACACTCTTTAGTTCCTCTTCTATCATACCCATCCTTTATACCTTTTGACCCTTAATAGCTTACAGGAAGATAACAAGGTCACATCAATCGTGTATGCTACCTCCACATCAACCCGTTCTATGCTATCATTTCGCAACACTGTCTCGTTCGCTTCTCTAAAAGCATGTGCTATTGAAAGCGTACGTATGAGTACGTACGAATAACAAGGAAAGGTAGTGTTATATTAGAATTAGTCGTCTATGCTATCTCCATACGTATTATCAATGAAGTGCTGAATAAACGTATGGTCGGCTACTGATGAAAAGGAACGGTGGCCTGATCCCAATGATAACGTGATCATATCAGAAGCTGACTCTAATAATAACGTAGTTTGATTGTCACAAACTTATTACTGTCACATTTTTTTTACTTTGGTTAATTGTTTTATCTTTATCAAAAAAGACTAGCAAGTCATTTAGGTCAAATTGATCCTCAAATGCCCACAGGTCAATGCCACAAACAATCTGATCTCTATCGATTTTATCAGGCAAATATTAGCGATACAAAAAAATAGGATAATTTACTTCAATAAAAATGTAATATATAACATAACAAATTATTTGTTTCCTGAGAAGTCATGAAGTACTTAATGCTTTTTTCTATCTTTTCTTTTTCAAATTTGTTATAAATTCTTTACTTTTTTTCTCTTCATTTTTATTAGCTCTTTTCAAATAGTTAGCTAGAAATTTTCGGAATGGAATTCAAATGTTTTCCAAATGAAAGCTTAATTCGAAATTTTATATTAGATAAAAGTTAAAATAGGTGAGTGATTTTTTTGATAATTGATTTGTTTCGAGTTATAATAAATTTTAGAATAATTTAAATATTACATTTTTCTTTCTTCCATAATGCTTAAGTGAAATACAAATTGGTAATGGGAAATATAATCATTTCTTTTGTTTGTTTATTATTCATTGCAAATCTGAACAATTTACGAGTAAAAATTTCACGGCAAAGTAATTATCGAATTTTTTACACCGTGGAATGTAAGGGAAATTGTTGACCGTATAGTTATTTTCGTATAAAAATGCATGCGTATAATTAAGGCTTATTGCCGTTCAGTTAAATATTTTGAGTTATTTCAGGTCATCCTTTTAAAAAGTGATGATTGCAAGAGCTTTTGACTATGTTATCAAATTTGTTTTATTTTCTGCTTTCAATCTAGCTTTAAATCATATAGATAATATGAACCTTTTTGACTATGGATAATATGCTAAATGCTTTGTTAGCCATTAAGCCGATGATGCAAAATCAAAGTCACTTCCATGTCATTATCATTTTAATAACAATTTTTTAATTAACAATAAAACTAAGAGAAAATAATAGCTTTTAAAAGGATGTCTACACATTTTTCTCAATGTTAATATACTTTCCTTCCAAAGAATTGAAAAAAAACCTCCCTTTCTCCTAAGATAATTCGTAATGTTAACTTTTGTATATCGAACACTATCGAACACTTCCATAAGCACTGAGAGCATTGCTCCGAAATAGGATTAATGCTATTTTAAATTTTGCTTTTTTGTTCAGTAAACTTTCCCAATTGATGAGAATGAAAAATTTGCTTACGTTAGGTGAAGCCATTACTGTGTGATTAAATAAAACGCTTTTACAAGTATAACTGAACGAGGTATACCTCGAAATAATCCCTATATTCACTTTTTTGTACACTTCATTATTTGAAAATGATACTTCAAGTACCATGTAATCACATCTTGTTTGAGCTATAAAAAAAGTAATTAGCTACGAAGATTTCCCTCAAAATTGCATTTTAATTAACTAACTTTTCGTTTAGATTACCTTTTCGAAAGTTTTATCGGAAGATATCTCTGAACTTGCAGATTTGCATCTGTGAATATCTTTTCCAATTTGCAATAATGCTGTAATAGTCAGAAGAATTGAAAAATTTAATACATTATGGGCGAAGATGACATCCCATATAAAAAAATCTGATTACACTCATTCTAAAGCTATGATCATGTACACATATAATTCAATGGAAAGTAATAGATACAATGTTCTGAGATTCATTTCACTTGTTAAATGATATGGTGGAAAATCCCATTCCACTTATATTTACAAATTAATACGAAAGAAACCCGAGGGAAGAAATACAGAAAGAATAGAAATAACATACACATATATAATAAAAAAATTGAAAATATTTGCTCAATTAGTACAAAAATTGGTCATTAAAGTTCCTCTAATGAATACAGCGTAAATCAATAATGATAAATAGAAGCTCAAACTTTTTCTTTGGAATTTACATTTTCATTTTTACGATGAACTAATTTTTGTACAGTTAATGAGAGATATAAGTTATTGCAGTTAGAAAATAACGTTGACCAAAAATTACTATCTAAAAAAGTGTCTCATGCATGCACAACAGTAGTCAATTCTGGAAACATTTTGATTCCAGAAAACTGATGCAAATCCAAAAAAAAACATATTCCTATATTCTGATGTCTGCCTATCTATTTTAATTCATGAAAGAAAATTTGGAAAAAAGTAATCTGAAAGAAAGAAAAAAAAAAGAAAATCGCCACTCAAAAAATTGCAAATAAAAAACTACAGTTTTGCATAGATTATTTAATCATCTTGCTTTTTATCTTCTCGATACAAACAGTTGACAAGAAAAGCCGCAATATCGGGATTAGCCCAGTAAGTAAAATGACTTTTCAACACAGACCAGTAACTGCGATCAGTAATTTGCGGCTGCACTTGATAATCCATACGATACGGCAATCCTTGAAAGTAAGTTCGAAAAATTTTTAGAAAAATATATTTGTATCGTAATAACGAATAAAATAAAGCTGTAATATGTACTGTTAAATTCATTTTATAAAAAAATACACCCCAGTATGTCAGGAATGCTACGACATTTCGCATATCTCTGATGCTGAAAGAACTGCCAAAGATAAACAATTGATGTAATCAGTACCATCTCCTCAGGAAAAACTAAGGTTATCCTCTCAAACATTAGCACACACCTGCCCGATAGTTACGCTATTAATAAGGTCATAACAGTAAAATTCAAAAAACAGTCAAGTTATGGAGCGGTAGTCAACAGCTGGTAAAAGAGATATGTGTGATAAGACAATGTTTTCACGTCTATCTGTCTATATTTCTTACCGTTTTCCAACAGTATAAGATATAAATGCATAAATGATCTGGTTTTTTTTCAATATAAATGATCTGATTATGATGATTAAGTTTTTCATGATAAATTAAAACCCACTTTCTTCTGGAGGAATTTCTTCTATCAATTTCTCGGCTTCACTTAATTTAACTTCCTCAAAAAATCCCTCATTAGTTTCTTTATCTTTTCGGTTGCTTCCGAATTTCCACCAACTTTTCTTGTTATCACCACTTTCTGATGGTGGAGGCGTTAAACTTAGCGGTGACGAACCTAAAAGGAAAAAAGGAAAAAAGTAAAAAAAAACCCGAACGAAATAATTTCTTACAATCACAAAATTTTTTAACTTTGCAACAAAACATGATAAACAATTTAAACCTATCCAATTTCTGTCGTGAAGATTTAGAATCGAATCCGTAAATGATCACACCTGGACTGCTAGGCCGTAAAGCTGACGAATCATCGCTTTCAAAATCATCCTCTTCGTCCATTTCTTCGTGATCTTTATCACCAACAACTGTCATCCCAGCATCCTTTTCTTTTTCAACCTTTTCCTTTATTTTTATCTTTTTGATGTAAGCTTTGTTGATCTAGAAAGGATTTAAATTTAAAAATGAAATATCTGGAGAAACAATAATTAAAAACGAAGTTAAGTTATGATACATACGATTATGAGGTAGTTAAAATAAAAATAGTGAAGTTCCGTCATTTGATACATACGATTATAAAATAGTCGAAATTGAGGCTGAAGGTCGAGAACAGAGCAAATAAAAGAAGTAGCCTATACTAAAATGAGAGCAAGAAATTCCATTTCCCATTCGACAAGACAGCAGTTAAATTACTGAAATTAGGAATTGCTGGATCTGCAGAAACTAAAATGTAGAGCATAACAAAGAGAAACATTCAATACACACTTCATAATCGGTTATTGTAGAATAAAGAACGTACTTCCGGTAAGAGAAGAGCATAATCTCGCAGTGATCGTAGATCAACCGAACTGAACAATTTTATAGGTCGAATTAAGCGATACTGTTTATGTACCAACGGTTCCAATCGGTATGCCTAGAAATATCGCTGATTAGAAACAAATAATTTTCAGTTTCGCAACTGTCATCTCAAATCATTTAGCCAAGATGGGACATTACAAAATTAAAAAATGTACCACTGGATCATATGGATGGAAAATATTATATATTCTCTTGAGACTATCTGTTTCAGGAACAAATGTTGTTGAACCTCTCATAATCAAAAAAACAGCGAGAGGCGAGCCGACACAAAACATGTTCCTAACCTGAAATAATCGATATGAGAAAGGAAATTTACACTTCTTGTAAATATAAACATATTAACTGTTTCTACAAACGGATTCATAAAATGACCTTAAATTTAAGTTTTTGTTTCTGCGTTATGAATGCCAGCTGAAATCCACCATAAAGTTCCAATAGCCTGAAAACAATCTAGATTTAGACTGTACCTGACAAAAAATATTTTCCATTTTGAAAACATTCTAAAAGATTAGCAAATTTAAATAAAGAAAAAATATTTAACTTTATTTAAAGATCTAAGATGGCTAGATTAGAATATGCAATTATCAGCAACCCTTTTCTACAATACAACAAAATCTGCTACCTTTTCGAACGACTAATTTCTTAATGTATATGTAAACATTTGCATAATAGAAAATGACTGAATCGTTAGAAAGTGAAAATATAATTACTTTAGCCGTGCTTCCCGAAAATCGTTCAGTATTCCAGCATGTTCTGCCTTCGTCGTTAACTGTTGCTCCTAAAATAAATAGACAGCGACTTATTTTAAATTAGTCTTCTGCAATCATTCTCGAACCACCGTTTTTAGGGATGCTTAGTACTCGTCCAGTCTATTCACAGTATGATTTGAACCCAATCGCCTTCCAATGGATATTCATAAAATATTTAGCTATAGTTTTCCAAAAAATACTCACAATCATTTCAGCCACATATTTGTCGTATAAAACAAGAGGAGACCAACAAGTGAGCAAATCATAGCACAAAACGGAACCAAGTGAGTGAGCATAAATCGAAACAGGTCCATTAAAATCAGGATAGTTTTCTACAAACAAACTGTAGACGTTATTTAGCGACCGTGTCAAGCCTTCCATAATCTGAAAATCTAAATAGGATTAATTCAGATATGCATTCAGTTACTGAAAATAGAGAAAATAATCATAAATTTGATTGATCAATGAAATAAAAAAATCTTGCAGAAGAAAAAAGACAAGAAATATATTAAAGTTAGTCGTCAGTTTCGTTAACGGTAATGAAACATTTCAACTGAGTAATGACAGCAAAGAAGAAAGAATAAACAAAGGAATAAATTTGTTACAATTCCAATAATTCAAAAGAAACATACATTCGAAAATACTCACTTCATTTCGATATAGCGGAGATTGATAATACATAATATCCATTGCTGTTGAATTTAAAGTATTACGCATTGAAGACATCTTTGGCAAAGTGACATAATCGGTAATACCATCATCCAAAATTAAACCTGCTCGCCATTCCACTGGTAAAACCATTGGACGACTTTTCTCATCCGAATAATGCTTATCCATGCAATTATATATGGCTTCACGAACTCTGCAACAAAAAAGACCTTGCTAACTCTTTGATCTAATTCAATGACTAACAGCTGAGATTAAAATAATCGACACTTTTAGTTATATCGCAGCGTTCATTGCAAATATAATCGTGCCCAATATTAAAATAACAATATATGATGAATTTGATATAAAAATAAATATAGAAATTATTGAAACAATCACTAACAAAAGCTCAGACAAAGGTCAAAATCGTCAATCGAGTAGTAAGTCTTACTGGTCAGTATTTTTTGCAATTAGATTTTCATATCCTTTCTGCCCAATACCATGAACAACCAAAATCAAATGTTTGATGATTCGTTTACCATCATCCCATTCCGCTTCTTCATATCCACGTTTTAGAGCAGTTCCTTTACCCCAAGCTATATAACGCAGCAATCGACTTGTTTTAGAATTGTTATACAAGGTAATATCGATAACGGAATTCCATCGTACTTCGTATTGATCTTGTAGTTTGAGTTCCGCAAGAACTGGAAAATGAAATTAAAGAGACCGAACCAAAGAGTAATTAGAGCTTCTTTAAAATATCACAATATGTATTTCAAAATCTAAACTTTTGAGTGAGATTTAAAACTGTAAGATCATGTACAAAAATTATTCGCAAAAAATGTGCCTGTTAACTAATAACACCAGAAACTAACTTGGTTTTTTACTCGACTCTTTTTCTGAGAAAACTGGTGCATCAGGAATTGTCTGAGAGCGAAAAATATGTAAATGATGTGTCTCGATGGGATCAGCCATACTAGGATCAATTGGTTGTAAATTTTCCGACAGAAACCAGGTGCCCCGACGAATTTCGATCGTGTCATCTAAAAATATTACTTATTTAAAGAACATTAAATTTTCTTGGACGAACGCATTACTGGTTGTATGCAACCTAAGAAATAAAAAGTTTGAAGAAGTGATCTACAATAAAGAAGCTTCAATTCAAAAAAAGTTGAATGCATTTTATTTGTATGAGAAACTAAATCAAAAACCTTTCCAATAGATAGAATTTAATATGGTGAGATCCTCAGAGGCTCGATATAATCCGTCTAATACTACCACCGACGTAGGCATTTTCATAATTCGTACATATGATTCGGTAGCCTGATCCAAATCAATCTGCATTTGCTGTCGCCAGTATACTTCCAACAACAACGAATCTACTCCTAAAATACAATTCATAAATAATGACAGCATATCATTTATTAAGGAAATAAAAATGAACTTGATATAACCGAAACTGATTTCGCCTTTTTAATGGCTGCTCTTTCGCTGAAATGAACACAAAGCAAATAGGGAAATGTGAAATGAAATTCGGCTAATATCTTCAAATTCATTCTTACACTTGTGTGTAAGGCGAGCCCATGACTTCGTATTTAAAAGAAAAACTAGTAAGACTGAGAATGATCAATTTATAATATAAATTAACCTTTAAAAGGGGTCCATTTTGTTTCTGTTCCGCTTTTCCGATGAAACCACCTAACTTCGGCACATTTCAGTTCTGCGACGCGACGTTTTTTATACCTTGGTGGCACTAACGGCGTTTTCTGAGAACTGCTAGTCACTGGTAAATCTTCAACTTGTATTGCTAAAGCTTTGGATGATAAAGCGGTATCATTTGAACTAGTAATAGGTGTTACTGTTGTTGAGAGATTTTCGATTCCAACAGGAAAATGTTCGGCAGTTGGTGTGCTATAAACATCATTAATTTGTTCCTTCAATTCCTTTTCAGCCGGTGTTTGATCTTCATTCACTTGGCTATTTTCGGCCACTTCTTGCGCAGTAGTAGCCCTGCCCGAACTCATCTGGAAAAATAAAATGATATATGGCAAAAAAATAATTAATTAATATGTCAGCCAGGATAACTGACACAAATAAAAAAATTTTATTAAATAAGGCCATAATGAAAACGGATAGTATCAATAAATGATGATGCATTTTTTTTTTACTATCTGCAGTTAAATTGTTTAAGATTGAATCGTATGGTTTTGCTTTGATAAACTGAACGTAACACTGAGAAGTCTTGCAGTTGAAGTTAATTAGATTGTCAAGTTTTTAAAATATATAACTGCCGGAACATATGTGCTAGTGAATTGAAATTCAACAACAAATTACATGAATGCGTCAGATCGACATTTGAAAAGAAGCGCTATGCACATAATCGTTCAACGTACTAATATGCTAACAACATAAATAGCAAAGAATACATCTCGCTAAAATTGAAGAACTAATCAGTCAACATTCAACTTTTCATTTTTTTTAGGATAAAAGGGTAATATATTAAAAGCTCATTTGTTCAATAAACCAAAATTTCTCTCTGCTAAACATTCATTTCAGATTCAACGTTATGCTATATATTCCCATCACATATGAAATTTGAATTAGTAAATAGTTAATACGTGATTCACTTGATTAATCATACATAGTATATTCAAATGGATGAATACAAAAAACGTTTTTCAACATAAAAAATGAGTAGGGCAGGAATAACTAACACTGAAAAGTCATTATTGAAAATTTATCTTTGCACTACTTTTTTTTTCTATTATTGAAAAGCATTTTTTCGAACATATAATTATTCCAAATTATTCTTTTTTTCTTCCTTTCGTCTATTTTCAAAAAGTTCTATTCAAGGTTGAAAACTGCTATCGAGTTTCATCATTTAACCAAACACTTTTTCTTAGAAAGCTCTTAAAGATGACGGAAGTGCCTTTTATCGTTCGTTTCATGAAAGCACTTCCCCGAGGGTATTTAGCTCTTCTAAATCACCACACCTTCCTTTTTATTTTTTTTCTTTCGTTATCTTTCATTTTCTTTAAAATAGAACTCAAAAATAAATTTTCAAAATCGAACTGATTGTTATAGAATGGAAAAGTATATAGCACTTATGTATTTGCTTGCAGTTCTTATGTGAAGGAAGTTAGGAGGAGTTAGCAGTAAAATTAACCCCGATCTTACAAGGTATAATCTATATTCAAATTAGCCAGCATCAAAACTTTTCCATCATATATCAAATAAAAGTAGTCTAGAGAAACCGAAAAAATGAAAAAAAAAAGTAAAATTGTAGTAGGAATCGATAAAAACAATTAAACAGGAGCAGAGTAGAACACATAAATCAATGTAAAGCATGCGATCCACTATTTAAAACAACAAAACATTTCTTATTTCCCATTTACTCACAACATGTCCCCTCGCATATTTTTGAATTGAAAGTCGAAAAAGATAAAATTTCCTCATGAAAAGGCGACACTCTTACATTTGAACTGAATAATTTAGGAGTTAATTGATCTCCACCTTATCAACCTTAATCGCTAAAAAGGATATTTCATCAATCATCAATAGCAATGCAAAATAGTTGAAAGTCTGAATACTTCAGTTATTCCTAATTAGCTAAGTAAAAATTTACTGTAGTTGAATTTCAAAAATTATGCAAAATAAATTTCAATTTCATAATTGCCAGTAAAGTGAAGACATTTAATGATAGCGTGATGAAAAAAAAGTAAAAAATGATGCTAAAGAGAAAATTCGCAGTGACAAACTTATGCTACATATTTTTCCTGCAATTCAAACTGTGTTAAAAAGATTTAGAAAAACAAAGTCAAAAGGATGAAATTTGAGAAAAAATTTTAAAACATTAAAAACAAATCCATGAAAATGAGATAAGTTGAGTGATGAGAGAAAATCATCCAAACTATAATTTATATTTTCTATCACTGCCTGCATAACGAAGTGCCTGAATATAATATGACATCACTAGTCTATTTTTTTTCATGCATATTCAAATAATAGCAGTAAACATGAGCGGTTGAAAATCGAATTTTCAACAACACTATTTTGTTTTTAAATTCATTTAAATAACGATGAATTTTGGCTCTTTTATTTTTTTCCGATAAAACAGAAATTTTTTGAAGTGAAAAGAGGAATTTAAAAGACTACCCATATAGATAATTCGAAAGGAGAAACATTTTTCTCAAGCTCACGCCTATAATATTCATCAAAATATTTTTTTAAAAAAGAAAATGAAAAGAATTGCAAAAACTTATTTATTTTACGATGTAAAAAAGATTACAAATATATCAGGTAAATGCAAAACAGAGAGAATATTGGCATGTTTTTAAAGAGTGCTCTTAAAATACTTATTTTTCTTTCTTGCTTGGAATGGAAAACTAAGATAAATAAGGTACTACCGCTTTTGCATTTAATATTTAGAAAAATTAATTAAAATCAGAAAACGGGTCGATATTGCTTTAGCTCAACTTTTATGACCTAAATGAATTGGAAAAAATATGACAAAGAAAGAGGAAATGGAGATATTTTTACATAAGAAGATATACTTTAATGTAAGTTCAAAGAAATCCGCTAAAACATTTCGCAAAGTCGACACGTATGGAACGATTCCACTGATTAAATTATTTCAATTAATTCCGCTCGAAATAATTAAGCTTATGTTGTAAAAAAGCTAGTAATCATATACCGTCATCTCTTCTTTACAATTTCAAACATTTTAATATTCTTTAGTATACATTGTAACAGAAGTGAAATGTACGACATTTGCCAAGCCTTCCGTCGTCTCGCAATTTTTTTTCATAAAGATAGCGCAAAGAGAATTGTCATATACGGAAACGGTTTCCGTATAGGTGAGACATGATCCATTCAGTTACTGACACTTCACTACTATGTGAACCTATTAGCAATGATTCATTGCTCTGACGCATACATCAAAAGACCATGAAATATAAGAAATGAGGCTGAGCATTCTGACTACTGACGATTATTCACTTTCTCATTAATTACCTGGCATTCGTTGATTAATCTGTCTTATTTAATGTGTCTATAATTGAAAAGTTAATTTAAAAAAGTACATTCAAGAAAGAGAAGAAAGAAAAGGAATAATTAGCTGAAATGAAAAAATCAGAAAGTTAGAAAAAGAAATTGAAGTAATAAACCAATCTAATAGCAATATGATGTTGCCTGCGGAAGAATTTCATAACACCGAGCTATTGCAGACTGATCGTTCTAAGCAAACATTTAACAGACAAATGCTGTTAGCAATGAGTTATACATTGCTGATAGCATCCATTTCAATTCTCATTTTCAATTAATATTATTTCGTAATTCAATAACATATTCTTTGCATATATACATATTTGAAAAACTGAACACCGTTTAATTTATTCATATGAAAAGTGAGATCTACTACCTGTATAGAACTGTACTCAATACAAAGATCAAAGATGAGAAGGCCACCTCCAACAGCTGCAAGGATTAAAATCGATCAAATCATTGTTGATCAACATACTGTCAACAATTTTCAATAAAAAAAGCATAAAATCACGAAAACCCGTATTTCCCCTTTCTTTTCCTCCATTTCCTCCCTTCCCCTTTTCGGAAAAAAAAACAAATCTAAACGGAAAATAACTGTTAGAATGATTTTTTAAGATGCTCACTTTCCATCCTAAAAATAAGCCCAATTAATTGTCACTGTCAACTAGCCGACATTCAATATATCCAGTGAAATACAGCCTTAATGAATTATAAAATAAATAAATACTGTTTT